ATTGCTTCCTGAGGAGGAAAACAGCTAGGAATGAGTAAAATATGCAGCTTCATAAACTCATCAAATGACGATACCTCCCTCACTAATACTCTACTTAACGTCATTTTTTGGTGAACACAGAGCACAAGAGATTTGGCAAATGCCAAATTGATATTTTATTATCAATCACAAATCAGTCCAATACTGCTGATGCAAATTTCCAAATAAGTTAAGTGTGTAACACCCAACCATTTCACTGACTATTCGTAAATTATTATTTATGCCGTTATGAATTCCACTGTGCGTCGGTGGCACAGTGGTTAGGACTCTCGCCGACCACGCACATGGTCCGAGGTCCGATCCCCTGATATCTATGGTCAGCCTGTAAAATTTGGGCTACCGAAATCCATGCTGAAAAAATTCCATACTTGTACAGAAAATACAGTGTGGAATCAAGCTGTAAATCAAAAATAAAAAAAAATTAAGTTTGAAATATTTTCCGAGCGGAGTGTATTTATTGCATCGTTAGTGAAGAAACTTTGAAAAGTACAGTTCTGGAGACTTTTTTGACAGAATAACATTTGGCGTAAATTGACATAATATTAATACTGATGCAGTAATGAAACACAACGATTTATTCAGAGCTTCATTCAGTGAAGTAAACCAAACTAAAAATAAATTATAGAAGTACAGTGTAGTAGGAAATGTACTGAAATCTAGCTATAAAATGTTTTTTGACATTTAAGACCAAAGGGAAATGCAGCATATACTAATAGATGTAATGAGTTGTTATTAACAGCTTTTTAAGCACTTTAAAAACACTCTTAGAATAATGTCCTTTCGCGATGAGATAATTCAATTCGAGTGGCTATTGACTTACCATATCTTGATGTTGTTGTTACAATTTATTTTGTAGATGATGTTGGTTTTATCTTCGTTCGCTGTTGAGTCTTTTGGTTGACATAGAATTGAGTGAAGTGATTTTGTTGGTTTGTATACGACGTCCATTCCTAAAGGTTTGAAAAGTCTTGTAGTCATTTCTGATATATCTTTTATATATGGTAAGGCGATTTTCTTTGTGCCTCTCTTGGTGGCTTTTGGTTTAATAGGTTAGCTTGGGGGTATATGTCTTTTGATGAAATTCCCTGGATATCCACTGCGAAAAACACTACATTGGCCAAAGTGGATGTCCCCTTCGTCTTCGTATCCACGAACATAAGCTAGCCGTCAAAAGAAACAATATCCACTCCCTCATATCACTACATACAGACAACCACGGACATCAGTTCGATGGGGACAACGTTCAAATATTAGACAGAGGAAACAACAAGAATGCTAAAGAATTTTTAGAAGCTTGGCATTCCAGTGAATCATCAATCAGTAGACACATAGAGATAGACAAAATTTATCAACCGATAGGAAAGAAACTTCACACACAAAGGGTCAAAATTCAAGTCAAAAAAACAATCAGTTCCAATACAAGTAACCTGGATGTTGTAAAAACACAAAAATAGCCAATCACGCCCAAGGTCACCAGGAGAGTTGATTAATAAACTCGTGGAAAAATCTAAAAGCTCATTTCAAATTGAAGTATGCGTTGAAGATGTCGCCTAGTAGGGCGATGAAAGCTTCTCAAATCAACTATCCAGTTCAGAGGACACAACCACATCAAAATCATCCACCTGAGCTACAAATCTTCCCTATCATACTTACCATATCATTCGAGAGTGGAAATTATATTTTCTAAGTTTGCAGTCTTCATCCAATCAATAGCATCTAGAAAACTTCGAATCATGGTCTCAAAACCTTTTTTTCTATGAGTAACGATGATAAAATTTCATAGTGAAGTTCTTCTGTACCTCGTACCAGGCATCTAACAAATCCTACAGATAGGTGGAGTTAACTGTTAAGTTAGAATCCATATAGAATTTTGGAAAACTGATTTCATTTAGGACCAATATTTTTTATTTTATTTTAGATTACAGCTTGATTCCACACTGTATTTTCGGTACAAGTATGTCTTATATATATATTCTATGCCGATGACTGAACACAACTTTCTTTATGTTTATTTTACTTGGAGTCAATTGCATCCTATTTTTCTGCATGGAATACATCTAGTAAATGAACATCGATTCACGGAAAATCCCCCAGTGGATAAAATCAATAACAGTAATATTAACTGGTTACCATAGTCACACATTTTGCTTGTACGGCAAAGAAGAGAGTTTGTTATGTATACATATGTCTAACAGAAGCTACTTTATTATTTTCATAACCTTTTTCAAGGTCAAACCGAAAACCAAGTTGTATGCCGTTTAGAAATTGCCTCATTCTTCTGTTTATCGCTGTTACAATAGTCACAGTAAAATTAAGTGACGGAAAGCTTTTTTTCAGATGTCTTGATTATTGTTGGGAATTAGTAAGAGAGCATATATTACTTCGTTTTTCTTATTATCACTTATTCTTCAAGCAAAAGAAAAGATTTGCAAGTCATAATTGTCACCACAAACAATAGAATCATTCATTATCAGTAAATAATTGAAAATAATAGAGATTTCAACTAACTGGATAAAAAAAGGTAAGTAAAACTTAGTGTTATTGTTGCATGCTTTGAGACTTTAATTGTCACTTTTTAAAATAGCTGATGCCTAGATCAAAAGTGATTAATACTCTCTTTTTGATGAATATGACAGTCATTGTCTCTTATGATACGTATTTTGTTTTTATTATGTGCACCAGCATTCCTTCTACTTATTATCTTAACTCTATATCTGATTGTATATCTTTATCATTTTCTTTATTGACTGATGCATTAATTTTGTATGCCTTGTGGTGCCTAGTAGTGGAATTTAGAAAACTCGCTGCTGACTGTTTCAGACTATTCAGCTAAATGCTTATACAGCCCACTTAGTGCAGATGTTTCCACTGTAACTCAGACTCAACCCATGTTCTTCATATGTGAAAATTCTGCTATTTGTTAATTGTTTACTTTTGCATTTGCTTATTTTACGGAGATAACCTTGCTTAGTTAACTAGCTTGCTAGTTTTCTAGCCGGTTCCAAGTCTGGGTAAAGAGTGAGGGTTGGGTTTGGGGCTAGCAACCCTACACCACAAAAGCTATCAAACTGCTAGAGAAATTTCAACACACAAAATATGTGTTAAAAATACAAAAAATTCAAATAACAAACTTATTCTTCGCTCGAATCGGAGAGGCAAAATGACACAGTGGACTGGTGAAAGCCAGCCTTCGGGAAGCCAGTTAGCCAGCCGATGTGTCTTCTCTCGATGAAATCAACAGTAAGAACGGGGATGTGGAATGTCCATACAATCAACGAGACTGGCTGAGAAGGCTGTCCAAGTAGCGAAAGAAATTCGAAGATGTGGCCTAGAAGCGCTGGGTATCTGCGAGATCAGATGGAATTGATTAACTGTTAACTGTAGAGTCAGTAATCTACTCCAGTCTAGTCACACAGACGACAACCACGAGCACCATGAGTGGCTACTATAATATCACTAGTGACAGCCAAAGCCCTAATGCAGTGGGAATCAATTTCCTCCAGCAGGATCATGACGGCAATGTTCAACTCAAAAAGAAAGTCACGATCATCATACAACGCTACTCACAGTGCTACAAACAGCGCGGAACAAGAGAAGAAGGAAGATTTTTTCAGACAACTACAAACAGTAGTGGACAACATCACAAGTGATGACATCAAAATCCTTTTGGGAGATATGAATGCAAACCGAACTGGGAGCAGATAATACAGGAAGAGAACTCATCATGGGTAGAGAGGCTCTGGCTCGGAGAAATGAATGAGAGCGGAAAATTTTTCGTAGACTTCTGCTCTTTCAGTGGTCTAGTGTTAGGAGGCAGCGTGTACAGGCACAAGGATATACACAAAGCAACATGGATTTGGCCTGACAGACACACAAAAACCAGATAGATCTCATCTCAATGTTGATCAAGGGGGTGGAGACGCAGCCCGTCTGCTGGACACAAAGTCGAGAAGAGGAGCAAGTGTGGGATGAGATCAACATCTAGAATAAGAGACCTTCAAGGTGAAGCTGAAATCCTCCGGAACAACTGGAGATAGGGTACTTTTCAACATCCAGAATCCTAAGGACAAAACTACAAGGGATACCTTCACTACATCAAACATTTTTAGTTACAACATTTATCATCTTCAGGCGTTGTTATAGGTGTTATTTGAGACTAAGCCATTGTTTATTTACCTCCACAAGAATGTAAGGGGTACTTCTGAGAGATAGTGGTAATGAATCACCTTGGAAACATCTCATTTTGCAATACTATATACTTTATGATGTCGTTCATTATGTCTTCATAATAATTCTCCGATTTATCTAGGTACTAAAAGTCCTTCATCATTTTTCACACCCTATCAACTAAAGATCCATTCTTAGGATTTCGAGAAATAACATGATTATTGCAAAGTCTGAAAAGGTATATTCAAATCGCGGAAAACATTATTACTTGATGATAGTAGATGGTTGAAGGCAATCAGCAGGAAGCCCTGGACCTAGACTGATAAAATTCAGTCTGCACCAAAGAAAGGGCTAGAAACGTCACACTAGTTACTAGTCTCCAATCAAAATATTATTACTGTCGAAGAATTCTAGAGTGTGCAGGAGAAACTCCCTAATTGTTAGCATCATTTGGCCAATGTCGAATTGTTAAGCTAAACTTAAACTATGAGGCTTAACTACCTATCTACTGGATTATGTATAGACGGCTATGAATTATTTACTCACATAAAGATTGAATATTCAAATCCTACCATGACTGACATTTTTTATCTTATTGCAACCACCAGCTGTGTAAATCTGGAATCCATTTATCTGAAATCCAAAAATGATTACTGTAGCTATTCTGATCAATGCTTTTTTTTACCGTTACAGAAATTTCAGTTTATTCCAAATATCGTCAAAGTTTTGCTCAATTCTGGAAAGGACATCTGAACAGTTTGTTTCAGTTATCTTGACAACTATAAAAAAAAGCAATGAATTTTGAACAGGACAAGTCAGAAGTGCTTCGAAGCTATGAAGTTTTACGTGAAGAGCCGGAAAGACAAGTGAATTATTTAACAGCTGCAATAATTGAAATAGAAGATGTAAGTAGGCTTATACTTACTTTTATGATCGGTGATTACAAACAAGCAGCAAGAAGCCCTAGGCCTTGGTCTCATGCATATCTACATTCAACAATTCACATTGAAGCATTAGGAACACAATTTTCAGCGAAGAGACTCTTTTCAACGAATTTATTATCAAGCTGTACAATCGTATATATATGGTTTTTAAAGAAATTATATCCGATGATGGAATTAGGTCAAAGGTGTTAATACATGAAATAATAATAGTGTGAAATGCAATTAAAATATTTGTGATTATAATCATATTTTAATGTCAAGTGGCAAAATAACTAATGTCATATATAGAATAATACATAAGGTGTACGGATTTTGGGAAGAGGTACATAATTATAAGATTAGTAGACGAATATAAAATGTTACATAACATGATGTGAAGTTTGATAAGATAGAATTCAATGTTGTAAAAATAAAAAATATAAAAATCAATAATTTTGGGTTTGGAGTGACAACTGGGTCAAGTGGAAAAAATTCAGAGTGAGAATAGTAACAATAATAACAATGATAATAGTAATACTAATAAAAATAATCGTAGTAATAAGGGAAAAGTACATAGAACAACTAGAACAGAATAAATAAATGTCTATCCCTCTACGGCCAAGGCAGAAGTAGGGATTGTACATACTTCTTTTGTACACAAAGGTCTGACTTAAAGTCATGAATTGTCAAGGCCTCAGCTGTCTTTAGAAGTCAGTATCGAAGAATACGCGAGAAGTTAGCATGGATTCTATATATGATCTTGAAATCATGGTCAGGGTTGACCGAGTTACAGAAGTCGATCAGGTGTTCCAGAATAGAGCTTCGCACACACTTCCTTTCTCGCTTGTAAAACCAAGCTGGAATATGTTCTCGTATTCGTGTGGAAAAAGTCCTCTGACTGCTGCCAATGTACCTTGCTCCACAAGAGCAGGTGAACTGGTATATGCACATGGAGGCGGCCAGACGAGGGAGCTTATCTTTTACAGATGTAGAGAACAATTTGCGGCTCACGAACGTCATATGCAATTTTGCTGCAAAGAACGTCTTACTGACTGATTTAGAGAGACGATTTTTGAGCATATCCGAAGATTGGTCACCTTTGAATTCCAAGTTCATGAATAGGGTTTTCTTTGGAACTGAGTCGGTGACCAGTTTAGACTGCTTATCTTTCATTTTGCTGTCAATAAATCGGTTAGGGTAACTGTTTTCTGCAAGTGTGGCTTTTAAGAAGTCAAGTTCTGAGTCAACGCAATCGGAACTACAAATTTTCCTTATCCTAAAGCAGAGTGAATGAATTAGGTTCCTTTTCCTGGAAATGGTTACCCAACTGTAAAAATTAGTTAGTTGTCCGTTCCATTTACGTTTCCGGTGGATAGATCTTTTGAGAGATCCGTCATTACGTCTGCTAAGGCATACATCAAGAAACAGAATATTTAGTTCGGATTCCTTTTCTATGGTGAATTGTAAAAAAGGATGCCAGTTGTTGAAGGCAAACAAGACATAATGAAGAATTATGTTATTATCGCAGATGACGAAAGTGTCGTCTACGTACCGTTTATAAATGTCAAAATGATCGATGTTCTGACTAAGTTGGGAATTTTCAAGCTTAGCCATAAAACAGTCAGCCAACAAGGGGCCCAGTGGTGATCCCATGGCAACGCCATCTCTCTGTCTAAAGATCTCATTATTGAAGGTGAACTGAAAATTCAACGTGCATCTCAATAAAAGCTCTTTGAGGTGGATTGTCGGCAAACCTATTTCTAAACTATATGTACCAATGTAATCACATAAATAGTAAACAGTTTCCATGAGACGAACACTGGTAAATAGCGACGTCACATCTAATGAGAACAGGACTTTGTCTGAGACATTAAAATCTTTAATGCTATCAATAAACTTAAACGTATCATCAATGGAAAACTTAGATACTTGCCTTCTGACTGGTTCCAGTACTTCGGCTAGCCATTGAGCGATTCCGTGATAAGGAGAGCCCGCCATATCGAGGATTGGACGGAGGGGTAATCCTGTCTTATGTATTTTCGGTAGTCCATAGAAACGTGGTATTATGGAGCCTACTGGTCGGATGCGTTCATATATTTTTGACGAGATTGCTGACTTATTCCTCATGTTCTTTAGGACATCAATCATGTACAGCTTGATAATGAATTCGTTGAAAACAATCTCTTCGCTGAATATTGTGTTGTTTTATCTACATTCGTCAGTAATTCCTATCTACAACACCCAAGGAACTGATACTGCTTCAAGATTTGAACCCACGTCAATGGGTTTTTCAAGTAATGTCTCTGTTGCGTGTCTGGGTGACAGTGATTCGAGTTTCTTTGGGGATGTTAGTTCCTTGGTGACCACATTGCAAACTCGGCTGACTGAACGCAGTCAGTATCAGCACTTAAAACTAGACACATGGCAATAATTACACCCTAGTAACCAATCAGTGCTTATATTTTTGTTGAACTTTACTAGTTTTTTTAATGTTTAATCAGCAGTAACTCATAAGTTGATATTAAAATTTAGAATGTTCATTTGTTGTTTCTAATTACCCAGTACCTGATCAACCCTTGAAATTATGTGAATTTTGAATTCGTGTCTTTCTGTTGTTGCAAATATTACTTCCCTTCCATGGAGTTGCTAGTATTTATCATAACCTGCTATAACTGTTCTTGTGTGTCATTTATCTCTTTTTGTTATATATCAGCATCGGAATAACTTCTGATTTTTCACTAAAGACTAGATTCATCGTTTATTCTATCAAGACTTCTTTAAAATCAGCTATAAATGAAGCAAAATTCACTTCTACCCACTGCATGAAGTTGAACTTCAGATATTTGCACTTTACCTGCAGCTGAATATCATTTCTCGGTACGTCCCTGAATAAATTTCCCTATTTTTCTCAATCAACAACTGCTCTTAAATGAGAAGCTGAAAAAAAGTCAGTCAAACGAAGTTACTTGAAGAACGTATGCTGTTGAACAGCCCTCTACTTGTACAAAACAGGCATCTAGCAACCTTAAGCTTTTGAAAGTTGTAAATTGACATCTGTGTGCAAGGAAAACCAATCAATCTTCAACTAACATTCAAGTAAACAATAATACAACTTTCATTGGTAGATTCAAGATAAATTTTTACAAATTCCAGTGAGAAATAATGATTAAGCCGTATCACACATTGATAGGTGAAAACGGTGGTCACTAGATTCCAGTCCAGTGGATGAATAATAATAAATTCGTTGAATGTTAAAAATCAACAGGGAAAACAAATAGAAAAGGGACCTGGTTACTCAAGAACCCTATAGAATGTAATTAAATTTAATAGTAAAACAGTTGATAAATCAGCGATGCATAAATGAAAGGATAGGAAGTCAAAACCAAGAATGAAAGTAATAAAAATTCGAATGCATTACAATAAATATTTTTCTGGAATAATTTGCGTACATCGTGTGGCTAAGAAAGTTTATTTCCGTAAAAGATAGCATTTGCCTGTTTTTCACTGTGCTGCATAGATACGATTTTGTTCGTTCTCTAAAACTTCTGTTACATACAATTTAGTACATTTGAGAATGCAAGGCGACAGCTCTACATTTAAAATAGGCATTCAAGCTTTACTTATCTGCTGAGTTTCTATATGCTGGGAATTACTTTCTTCATTTTTACGCTTTTTCCTCTTAACGGCAGTTTTCCTTATGAGTATAAAACTTAGGCACTATGGTGGAGTTTAACTCCATTATGGATAAGATTTTATCTTGATAAATCTGCTGAAGAAGCTGTGGCTTACACGGCGAAACGTTCAGAAAAATCTTGTTTTGATTTTCTTAACACGCTGGGATTAATTTAAATAATTTATAATAAATCACATAATGTTGTACAGTAATACTTACTGTACACAAATTATTGTACATAATTATATCAAGGCACTCACACAACTTTCTGGCTTCATTTGTATACACGAGTAAAATGACCCAGTTGACTCAATTAGACAAAATAATATAATTTACAAAATACCTTGCAATGACTGTGAACTGAACTACATAGGTCAAGCTAGTAGGTCAGGTGTAGTGAGATTATTAGAAGATAAGAATTCAACTAAAGTTAGAAAGATTGATCCTACGATGATAATTAATTTGGAAAAAAATTCAACAATAACATGCATGCATTAACACACAACCACACAAAAGGGTGGGAACGAGTCAAAATTCCAAAAAGTATGAGCTAGAGAGAAAGACAGATTAATTACTGAATCCTGGTTCATTAAGTCTACACCCAACACACACAATAGAGGTGACACACCGCAAATACCAGAGATATGGAAGATATTATTACTGGTCAAACCAGAGGATAATAAACAATCTTAAAATTCTATTTCAATTCACATACATTCTAAGATAAGATAACAAGTTAATAATATTAGTAATAATAATATTAATAATGATAATTTACTTTATTCCAAAAACAGTACTTATAATACAGAATGGAGATCTCAGCATTTGTCACAATATTACATCTGATTTACTTAAAATATGAATAAAATTAAAAATTAAAACAAAAGTAACCACAGGAATCTGTTCACGTTTATGATATAATGTCAAAAATATTGGAAGCACGAAATGAGATCATTAAATATAATAATTATAATAATAATAACAGTGAGTTTGTCCAAACAGTATTGTCGATTCAGTTTGGAAACTTTAGCATGTAATAGATTATTGGATCTAATGTTCAGTTGATATAGTATGATGAGGGAAAATAGAAAATTAACAGCTATAACACAGCTTAAATTGTTCACAGTTATGAAAAAAAATTGAGAGGATTATAAAAGTAGGAAATACAATAACAATAAAGTTTGGTACTGTAAGGGTGAAAGAGTATGGACTAACATGGATGCAGGTGAAAAGTACAGCAGAAGACAGAAGCAAGTGAAGACGTGCAGTTGAAGCCTATGTTTCACTAGGAACTCAAGAGAGCAATAAT